TTCGACCATTTTAATCGCAGCAGAGACTTGGCTGGAGTTCTTTAGGAATAAGGTAGTGTCATCCGCAAGCTGACTAATCAGGATTTCTCTGCCCGCTATAGATATCCCTTGGATGGCACTTCTTCTGATATGACAGGTAAGGAAACAGAAATGGAGAGGCCGGACAGCCTTGGCGCACTCCTCGATTTTGAGAAAATCTTGGAGAGGTGCCATTTCTCACTTTCATGGAGCTATTACCATTGGCATACATAGTCTTAACAACTTTACAAAAGAAATCACCAAATCCGAATTGTTCCATGCAGTGAAAAATGAACTCATGTTCGACCGTGTCAAATGCCTTATAGAAGTCCAGAAATAGGAGGTAAATATTGTTAGAGCAGAGGAATGAGTAATCAATCAGATCTAGGATGAGCCTGATATTATTAGAAATGTGTCTTTTACTCATGAAACCGGATTGAACCTCATCAATAATTGGGTCCAGTACACCTTTGACTCTCCTAGCTATAATGGAAGCAAACACTTTATAGTCGTTATTTAATAGAGAAATGGTCTCCAGTTTTCAATGAAGATATGATCTCGTTTTGGTTTTAGTATCAAAGTAATCAATCCCTGTGTTAAAGAAGGGGGAAGACAACCTTTCTTGATGCTTTCTAAAAAAAACTTCAAGGAGAAAGGGAGCCAAGTCTTTTAAGGTTTTATAAAACTCTGCTGTGAGGCCATCAACTTGTTCACATTGAGGTGTTCAATAGCAAAAACTACTTCTTCTAAATTAATATTCCTGTCACAGAAGTCTTTGTCGCTTTGAGTTACCTGTGTGACATTGCTAATAGAATTTAGAAAAGAGGTTGCAGAGTGTTCACAGTATTTGGACTGATAAAGGTTACTATAAAATTAAAAACAGAAATTGGCGTTTTTTTTGGGTCGTCAGTTATGATGCCATTAACATTAAGTTGCTGTATCAAGTTGATTTTTCGATGGTGTTTTTCTAGATTAAAAAAATACGATGAATTTTGTTCGCCTTCCTCGATCCATCTTTTCCTTGATCTTACAAACGCTCCCTTAGCTTTGTTAAGATATACTTCATTTAGTTTAGCCTGTTCTGATCTTAGTAGTAGTCTGTCTTCATCTGACATGTTATCAGGGTTTTTTAGGGATAAGTCAATTATTTTAGAGACAATCGTGTCTTCTTCGAATCGACGCGCTTTAGCTAAATTACTGCCTTATTTCCTAAGGTATTGACAAGTCTCAAATTTAAATAGTTCCCAGTTGCTACGAAAAGAATTGTCAACTTTTGCTTTGTTCCAAAACTTTTTAAGAAGGCATTCAATATCAGATTGAACCTTTTTATGTTTTAATAGAGAGTTGTTAAGCTTCCAGTAGACACTTTTACTTATTTTCGGAGAGTTTGAGTGTAAGGGGATGGAGCTGAGGACCGCATTATGGTCAGTTAAAGGTGTTGTAATGATCTCAACCGAAACTGGATTGATTTTAAGATTTTGAGATATGAGCCAGAAGTCGATACTGACCTCCTGGTGGCATCTCTATTACTCCAGGTGAACTCTTTTTTGTTTGGATTATTGCTCCTCCATATATCAATCAAATTAAATGTCTGCATAAATACCTTCAGGGTCTTATTTAGAGAAGATTGATTACGAAGAGGCCAACAGTCCATGTTATGGTGCAATATCGTATTGAAGTCACCGCCTATAACTAGACCGGAATTTGGGAATTCTGTAAGTGAATGTTGAATATGTTTTTCTAATTCTTCAAAAAGGTTATTATTGTCGTAATTTGAGTTGTACCCATATATGTTAACCATTATTATATTGACGTTTCCCGTGTTGATTACTTGTAAAAGGAAATGGCCTGCTTTATCGCATACAGAATGTAAAATACTCCCAGAAAACTGGTGTTTCAGCATAGCGACCCCTGCCGAGTGTTCAGATCCATGTGCCAACCATAAATCGTTAACCCATTGAGCTTTCCATAACCGCAAATCGTTAGTGATCGAGTGGGATTCCTGAAGAAAACAAAAATCATTTCTGTGCTGCTTAGCAAACAAAAAAAATTGCTTTACGCTTCACAATGTTTCTTAACCCCCTGACATTGAGAGTAATAATAGATAAAGACATATTAATCATGACAAACACACACTTAGAAATATAACTGGGTGACGTGTACTTAAACACTAACCCTACTATTTGGGGCTGTACCGTTCGAACATGGTTGGCCAACTTTACATTTGGGCTTTAAATGACGTCAGTCATCTCCTTCTCTCTTTCTTCTTCTTCTTCTTCTTCGTCTTTTTCTTCTTCTCTTTCTTCTTCTTCTTCTTCTTCTTCTTCTCTTTCTTCTTCTTCTTCTTTTTCTCTTCTTCTTCTTCTTCTTCTTCTTCTTCTTCTTCTTCTTCTTCTTCTACTACTTCTTCTTCTTCTTCTTCTTTAAAGGCAGGTGGCTTCCGACAAACAGGTGCATTTCTGCCATCTACTGTACTGGAATGTGGGTCAGAGCACGCTTGTGCCTCAAGAAACGATTCCTTGTGCCTCAAGAACGATTCTTGAGAGCCAAAAAAAAAAAAAAAAGCCCCCCGACGCCCTACTAAATGCAACCCCGTTTCTCTCAAAACTTGAATAGAGCTAATGGGAAGACCTCAGCACATTCTTAAATTTAAACACAGTAACTCCTCCTTTTCTTAACCCTTTACAAAGTTTTCCCTGCTGGTGTCATAGCTTAGACAGTAACAAATAACATATTCAAAACTTTCGCTTACTTTACACATTCACAAAACCCAGATGAATGTTGTCAATCGCGGGGGATTGCCAAACAAATTCATTTTCATTGCTATGCGCGTTGCTATGCATTCATTAACCTGGGTGGATTGCGTTATTTAAAAATAAAATAAAATAAAAAAACAACGGAAAAAAAGAAATCTAACGGAAGCATGCTTGAAATATTTTATCCATTAGTATTGGTGGGCCAAATTTACTGCATACTTGACCGTTATAATGTGTGGGGATAATATGTTTTAGAAACGTTTATGTTATTTAGATAGTAAACAATACCCGTGAAGTTTGTCCAAACGGATTTGCCGTAAATGGTCCGCTGCAGTTGGCCCTCTGCGCATCCAATGACTACATACGTCACAAGAAAGAAGAAAAAAATAAGTAAAATCCTGATAAACCGCAACTCTTCTTGAATTACAAGTGAAAGTACTGAAACTTCAACGCATGATGTCCATCAAAACTTCAATGAACTATGACATCATTCGGTCAGGTTTCTGGGCCTAGCTTCGCTAATTTAACCTGATTTGCTAGTCGCTAACAAAGAGACGCGTTTAGTCGCTCAGCAGAGATCAAATGTAAAGTGTTGCGATTGTGGTGTGAAAATGTCTGCAAAGGGGACAGAAGAGTACAAAGAGAAACCATCTGGAGCAAAAGAAGACAACGTCGCTGTTTCCGAGAAGCCTCAAATTGGCTCACTCAGAGCAGGTTTGGTCACCTCTGGATTTTAATCCACGAACTACTTTTACAATTCCTCTGTTCGTTTATAACGGCGAAACTTTCATCCGGGAACCGTATGATGTTATATTGAATATGAAATTATTGACATTCACTCGCGTGGAATTCTACATTAATCATTCTCTGAAACGCTAATCATTTGAGGGTCGCAGGCATACTGGCTTGACCGCAGTGCCATACTGCGGTCAAATGGCATACTGCGGTCAAGCCAGCCACCACTCGCAAAATTGAAGTCAAGTGAGCCGCCACTGCGATTGTCAATACTGTGCATTACGGTAAGGCTGCCACCAGCGAGCTGTGTTGGCCACCTTCAAAATAAAATCGCCTCAAGTAATGCATAGACGTCAGTTGTTTGGATTAAAATAAATAAATAAAAATATGAAATAAGTAATTTCTTGGCTGTTGGGTAATGATACGTTCAACCAGGAAGTAGAAGAACTCTCAGAACAATGCCACTAAGCGTTCTCAATTTCACCTGATATATTTAAAAAATCATTAAAAAATGAATCTGGGTGATCACGCAACCATACCAGATTGTCGACACACTAGGGCACCTCAGGTATCCAACCACAATACTGGCATTCAGATCTAATGTTCCATTTCAAATTAAAATGCCTCTGAAATATGACATCTGACCTCCTCTCCTTATTTCAAAAGATTATTAAAAAATGAATTTCAGTTTTCCCTCAATTAAACCAGGTCTGTAGGACACTATAGCAACCGGTTATCCAACCACACCACCCTCATTCAGATCTTATGTTGCATTTTTAAATAAAAGGCCTCTGAAAAGTGACATGTTGACCTGAGTTCTGACATGTTGAACTACATTCTAACATGTTGATCTTTTCGCCGATTAATAAAATTCTTTTAAAAAGAATCCTAGTTATCTCTCAACCAGCCCATGTCTGGGGGACACACGAGAGCACCCCAGGTATCCAACCAGACCAGCCTCATGCAGATCTGATGTCGCATTTTGGAATAAAAGGCCTCCGAAAAGTGACAAGATGACCTGAGTTCTGACATGTTGACCTGCATTCTAACATGTTGATCTTTTAGCCAATTTTTAGAACATCATAGAAGAAAGGATCGTAGTTATCCCTTAGCCAGACCAGTGGTTTTGAGAGAAAACTAGCATACTCGACTTGAAATGTGCAAAAGGTGGTGATATTTCAACGTTGGGTCTTACAGGTAAACAGGGATGAGCTTTTTCCGCTTTTTGATTGAATTCCATTTTTTTCCAGTCAAAATGGACCTGTTTTATATTGCTCCAAATTCGTTGAGAAAATTTTAGGGGCCGGGAGCGTAGAGTCTGGTGTTATTTCTGGGCTGCCGGACTTACTTGTCTTCGGCAGACTCGGGACTCGTAATGGTTACAAATAAAGTTTGCAAGCATCCATTTTGAAGACCGTTTTTTTCTCACGAAGCATTAGTTTGCTATTACTTCGTATATGGACTAAAACCAATGTCTTACTTGTGATTGGTCGCTATATCGGCAAATGCAGAATCACAACCAATCCGTGTTAGCCTTCCTAACCCCCTTTTCCGCGAATTCTGAATGGTTTTGCATGAGGGATGTAGTGTATTGAAATTACTCGTGTATGTAGTCTGTATTAAACAAATGCCGAATGTTATCGAGACTCGTGATGAAGCTAACGTGCGTCAGATCGATGCGGATCTGAAAAACAAGTTTCGATGGGACTGGTTGGATAGAAAGCTGACGGTGTCCCCAGTAGGAACCAGTAAAGAGGAACCATTGTCTGTGCTTTTGTCGGATTTCGTGAAAAAGCTCGATCTCGCTGGTAAAGCTCTGTGTACAGTGTGTGATGATGTCATTCTATACGGAAAATGCATTCATAACCCATATATAGTAAACAGTTTAGGACTTCACTATCACTGTATGAGGTAAGAATCAACAGCTTTTTATCACATTTACACATTTTATGAATACAAGTAATGAACAAATCTTAAATATGGCAGGGAATGTGTTTCCTTTTTTCGTTTTGATTTTGACCAGCAAATTTGAAGTTACATGTTGGTGCTCACCAGGAATGCATAAGCAAAATTGCACAAAGGTCTATGTCAAATTTTCACTTGCATGTTTAGTATAAAGTGCGAATTTTGTAGGCAAATAGGGAATGGTATTTCAACAAAAATTGTAAAATTTTGTTGATAAAATTATTGGTTTTAAGACTTTAAAACAGGGGTACCCATTACGTCGATCCCGATCGACCGGTAGATCTAAGACAGGTCCCAAGTAGATCCGAGGAGTGCAGAGCAGAAAAAAAAAAACAAACAACCATTTGTATGTCTTTGTACATGTTTGTAATATATTTTTTGTGTTAATGTACGCTGCACCCTAATCATCCTATCAGTCTCATTTTCACAAAAAAAATTAAAAAAATAAAATAAAGCAGGTAAATCTACGGTGGCGCGTGATTACGTCACCGGAAGTTGTTATCGGTGAGCAGTCTGCAATTGCAGCTTGTGAGCAGAGCTGTTGCGCTATATCTTTTATCATCATTTTTCTCATTCAGAGTTTGCTTCGTGTACAATTCACCGAGGGCACAGGCAAAGAATAGGAATCTAAGAGGGCCCAGGGAAGCACTTTAAAGCGGTACGTGTGAGCTACGATAGTTAACAGGCTGCAATAGTGCATTCATACCTCTGTATCAGGCTGTTTCTCATGGCGTGCGTGTGTGTGCGCGTGCGTGCGCGCGCGTGCGCGGTAAGGGGCGATCCTGGAAGGTTGGTTGATCGAAAAGTAGATCTTTGGTCTAAAAGGTTTGGGCACCCCTGCTTTAAAATCTCTAAAACACATTAACGTCCGGGGGCTTTGCCCCCTGGGCCCCCAGTGGGGTCCAGGGGCAAGACCTGTGGCCCCCAGACCCCCGGCTGATTTTCAGATTTTTTCATCACTAGCCACTCTCATCCCTGTCTTAACTTGCTTTCCTACGCCTAATGGACTATGCGCAAGAAGAAATGTTCTTGCAGGTCCAATACGCACAGTGAAAAATATAGATAAACATTTCTCAATGATAACATGACTGAAACTCAAACGTTTCACTATTGTGTGTTTAATTGCACATATAGATGAAATGCAAAAGTAACACATTAAAAAAAAACATTTGAATTCGTTCAGATTACTTTTTCCTCAAGCAAATGGAAAAAATACCCTTTGTGTCTCTTACTCATCTATGCAAACAAGTGCAATGAGATATCCTGTTTTCTTTGAAATGTTTTTGCACTGATAGGGTTTTGTTGAGGCAAGTCACTGCTAACTTTATCCAGGAATAATAATGAGTGAAGATCAAGGGTTCAGATTCACACCTACCTCAAATTAGGGGTGTGGCAGGATGTCCCAAAAAGGTTGCAAATTTCAGCCCTGGTCTGTGGTCGACGATTCAGCCAATACTTGTCTCAGTTGAGGTTAGTTTTGACAATGTCACTGTTTTACACTTGAGAGTAACAGCTTTAGAGATGCAATTGAAAGATTTAAAGCTAAAATTCAACAGACAATAGGGATGGATGGATGGGTGATATTCACATGGTGTCACCAGCCTTCCTAATGAGCTTGTTAATTCCAGTATTTGAATGTATCTGGCACCGAATAATAAAATGAGATGGCACGTGATTCCAATGGACCTTACCGTACCGGTATCTCAAACATCTTGCTGCACATGTAGAGAAATCTGCTTAAGTCATTCTTGTACACAGCAACAATATCAGATCCATATGAGGCTAGTCTGGTTGGATGCCTGGGGTGGTCTACTATGTCCTAGACCTGGTGTGATTGAGGGATAACTAAGATTCTTTCTTCTAAGGTGTTTTAAAAATCGGGCAAAAAGGTCAATGTGAGAATCCAGGTCAACATGTCAGAACTCAGGTCATCATGTCAGTTTTCAGAGGCCTTTTATTGTAAGATGCGACATCAGATCTGTATGAGGCTGGTCAGGTTGGATACTTGGGGTGTTGTAGTATCCCCAGACCTGGTCTGGTTGAGGGATAACTAAAATTTATTTTTTAAGATTTTCTAAAAATAGGTGAAAAGATCAACATGTTAGAATGCAGCTCAACATGTCAGAACTCAGTTCATCTTGTCACATTTCAGAGGCCTTTTATTCCAAAATGTGACATCAGATCTGTATGAGGCTGGTCATGTTGGATACCTGGGGTGCTCTAGTGCAGTGTTTTTCAAACTTTTTTGAGCCAAGGCACACTTCTTTCATTGGAAAAATCTCCGGCACACAAAAAAAACGCTGATTTGAATAATTAATGTGTTATATTGTTACTATAACCATTTTTAGCATTGAAGAATGACATTATAACAGCTTGAATTGGAATCAAATGAACACAAAGAAAAAAGTATTTTCTCATCTTTCATATTTATTGTTTCACCGTCGTCCTGCATTCATGCGTCACAAATTCGCTTGTCTCTCGGTTAAACACAAGGCAATTGGCTAGCTGTTGCTGCTCCCTAGCAGTATGGGAGGGTACTACACGATTAATTTCTGGGCGATAGACTGCACAGGCATACAAATTGGATATTTTCCCGCGGCACACATGACAATGTCTTGCGGCACACTGGTGTGCCGCAGCACAGGGGTTGAAAAACACTGCTCTAGTGTCCCCCAGACCTGGACTGGCTGAGGGATAACAAAAAATATATTTTTAAAGATTTTCTAAAAATGGGCGAAAAGATCAACATGCAGACGTGGTTTGATTGAGGGACAACTAAAATTCTATTTTTTTAATCATCTTTTGAAATAAGGAGAGGAGGTCAAAAAGTCATATTTCAGAGGCATTTTAATGCGAAATGGAACATTAGCTCTGAATGCCAGTACTTTGGTTGGATAGACCGGGGTGCCCTAGTGTGTCGACAACCTGGTGTGGTTGCGGGATAACTAAGATTCGTTTTTCATGATTAAATGTCAGGTGCAATTGATGTAGAATAACCATTTACTTTATTTTCT